TATTATTATTTATTAGTATTTTATAGATTAGGGTTTTTGTATGGGCCCGAGCCCATTAGGTCATGTAGGTGTGGCGTCTCATCTCTATATATTGTAATCCCGTTTTATTATTAATCAATCAATCAATAATCAAGAATTCTCTTAATCTCTCGTCTCTCTTTTCTTGGAGCTCGGAAACGCTCGAAGTTTTCCTTCTCTCCTTACCTCCCCTTTCTTGGAGCTCGAAGACGCTCGAAGTTCTTCCCTATCAGATACGATATCGTATCAATTGGTGCTCTCATTGTTGAACTCACCAAAAATAAAACAAAAAATAATAATTGTCATCACTGTTGAAGAGGAATCCGAGATCCAGCGACAAAGCCACAAATTTGTCCCATCGCCGCTGTAGGGGCACGAGATTTGCAGCCGCCGTTGCAAAATTTTGTTTTGACCAAGCACAATAGCCTAGCTATTTACGGAAAAAAAGAAGAAGTTGCAGTAGCGATATCATCCAATTGGTTCAGTTGCCGTACAAAGGAAGCAGAATCCATAAAGTTGGCAGATTTGAGGCCGGCGTTGTGGTTCAATTTTTAGTGCCAATTGTTGTGGCCACCAAGAATTTGCTCAAGGATTTGTGAGGGATCCACATAAATTTGGTTATTGTAACAAAGATTTGTTCAGAATTTGCTGTGGTGCCAGATCGAAACAGGAAAAAAAAGTCACCAGGGAAGATTTGTAATTTTTTTTAGATCAGAGGAAGAATTTGTTTGGAGAGATCCACTGTAATTGTTTGTGGCAACCGTCGGATCAATTTGCACCGCACTCCAAGAAAAAAAATGTAACCCGATTTTTCTTTCCGAATGGAGGCTCAATTCAAGCGGTTAGAGATTTTGATCGTGTGTACCCATGCATTGGACAAACTTATTGCTCTATTAGAGAACGTTCTTTATTGAGAAATTGAGCACGACGACGGAGTGTGCACACTTTACGATCAAATAGATGAACTTATAAATAATTTTCAATCCTTCCGTTCTATTGGAGGTAAGCCAATTTATGATTCTGACTTACACGCATTTGACATTGAAATCTCTTGCGCGATACAGGATTTGGTCTGTGGGCCCCCAATTTTGCCGAGTTTGATTCCTTGGGAGTTACAACACTTTAGAACAGGCATGTTGGGCGCTATAAAAGTTCTCATTGATAGTCCGCCTTCTGTACTGAATCTGGTCTCTACAATAATTGACCGAAATGCTGAAGCACATGATCACGCATCCATGAAGGAACCAAGCGTTGACTCACAAGGTGGAGATGATGTGGACATCCGGCATGAAGCCATAAACAAAGATAATGGGAGGTTCAATGTTGTGGACAAAAATGAAGGTCTTCTTGCAGAAGATGTTGCTAATCTCGACAAGCCATATCCTACTTTTCAGGAATTTTCTACCTCAACTGGTGTGGTCATTGCAGAATATGAAATTCCAAAAAGTGTTGACAAGGTTACATATGCAGATGGTAAACAAGCACACTCACCTATGTTGATTGACATCATCAAGTTGTTTAAGCTTGTCGATGTGGTCAAGACGGAGCACCTGGTTTCATCGAGAGCAACTACATATGTTCTGCACCCCGTCTCATCTTTCCATCACTTTGCTCCAAGATCAAAGATGGTTGAAGATTCAAAGAATGGATTGCTCCTTTGGTTCAACATTCTTTCTTCGGTCCTAAAGCATGAGTGGGAGCCTCCACCTTGAGGACAAGGTGGATTTTAAGGGGGTGGGAATGATACGGATAGTTAATTAGAATATTTTAATTAGTTATATTATTATTTAGTAGTTAATTATTATTATTTATTAGTATTTTATAGATTAGGGTTTTTGTATGGGCCCGAGCCCATTAGGTCATGTAGGTGTGGCGTCTCATCTCTATATATTGTAATCCCGTTTTATTATTAATCAATCAATCAATAATCAAGAATTCTCTTAATCTCTCGTCTCTCTTTTCTTGGAGCTCGGAAACGCTCGAAGTTTTCCTTCTCTCTTTACCTCCCCTTTCTTGGAGCTCGAAGACGCTCGAAGTTCTTCCCTATCCGATACGATACCGTATCACCCTCCGCCAAAAACCATGTTATATATGTGGATGTTAATCGGGGAAATATTAATAGGCAAATTTAGATATATTTTCTTAAATGAAATTATTTGTTGGAATGAAAAATAGTTCTACAAATTCAAACAAGATGCAACTTATATATATAAATATAGTTAATTTAACAAATGATAAATTAAATTATACTCCCTCCGTCCCATAAAGTGTTACCCATTTTGACTAAAGTTAAAATTAAGGGAGGGATAATTTTGTGTTGAGTTTCCAAAAATACCTTTGATGTGATGGGTAAAAGTAGAATGTGATGTGTAGATTATTATGAAAAAAGTATGATTTGATAGGTAGGGTTTGAAAATGTAAGGGGTAAAAGTGGTTTTTTAATAGAAATGAGTAAGGGATTGTGGGACATAATTTTTTTGAAACGTGTAAATCTTTTTGGGACGGAGGGAGTATAAAAAAGTAAATATAGTTTGACCCTCAATAATAATAATAATACGGAGTAGTAGTAGTAGTAGTAGTAGTAATAATAATAATAATAATAATAATAATAATAATAATAATAATAATAATAATCCATATGACAAACACACGCACGCTATGGGTGTTTGTTTTTCTGCCAGAAGACCTTCTGACGTCTTTTGTCTGCGCCGCGCAGACACGCGCAGATGATGGGCTCTGCAGATTGTTTGTTTTTTGGAAGACATTTCACTCAAAAAGGTCTTCCTGGCATCTTCTTGAAGAAGACATTAACCAATGTCTTCTAACATCTTCTCCTTTTTTTTCTACTTCTCTTCACCACCACAACCGTTCACCGCCACCGTCCACCACTACCACCGTCCACCATCACCGCCACCGTCCATCACCATCGTCGTCCAC